CCTTTTCATGCTCAAAAGCCTTCACATTCTTCCTAATGCTGTTTTCCTAATATTATGAATGTACTTTGTGGTTTCTCATTTAGAAAGATGCTCACTACATGTTAGCATGTCAAAGGCAATCATGATTTTGATCCCTAGGAACTCCTTCTTCCATTGTCTTCTGAGAAATCACTAGAAATACTAACATTTTCAGTGCCAAGGTGAGAATATGGTGAGGTGAATGGGCTTACTCCCAGCCAGAATGATGCCGTCTAAGAGTAGCTCTGTCCTTGATGCTGCTGGCACAGAAAACACCTGGTCCACACACCCTGAAGGTTATGGTCCCACAAGGAAAAGCATCTACATTGCAGAAGAGGGAGAAGCCACAGCAGGCATGTTAGGCAAAGCTGCTGCATAGAAAAAATGGGTGTGGAACACCCACCCACCCACCGACTCCCTCCCTCAATGACTTGTAGACGGTGTGCCTACTCTGTGCCAGGTGCTGAGGACATGACGGTGAACAAGAACAGACATGCCCCAGCTCTCAAAGTGCTCACAACCTGGAATTCTCTCTAAAAACTAGAAATCCAAAGAGTTAAGGGAAATTCATTCGAAGAGGGCACTCTACCTTGGAAGAAAGTCTAGAAGATCAAACACTAGCCTTTTAACAAAGCACAAGTCTCAGGCAGACCATAAGCTTCAAACTACCTCCTGGCTCTCTCTTCCTCCCGGACTTCCTCAACTCGGGCAGCACGCTCCAAGGCCGAGGATGACTGTGTCTATTTGAAGGCTTCCTCCTTCAAAGTTTTTCTGTGGAATATTTATTCCAGCTCATGAAACCATCTTTGGCATGATCTCCTCCTTCCCCACTCCTAAAGCTTGCAATCTATCTTTGTCATAGTATGTGAACTAGAAAGGACTGTGGGAATCTTGACTTGGATGAAAGTGGGCACATTGTTTCACCATACTTTTGCGATGGATAAATTTATTTGGAATAAAAAAAATGCACCTTCCTAACTACAGGTGTGAGCATTTTATCACAGCAATGTTAAATGCTTACCCCCATGTAAGCGCAGGATGAAATGTTAAGTAATATGGTACTATTTGAGTTGTCCTTCATAAAATGACCTTGCAATTAGCAAATTAGGACAAGGCATAGAGCACTCTGGTAAATGTATATATTAGTAGCTTTTACTGTAAAAATATTTACACTGCTGTGTAATTTTACTTCCAATACAGATTTTAGAAATATAATTTACTTCAAATACAAATTACTAATAGATAGGTAAGTACCAAATTCAAGATGTAGCAAAATTTTAAAATAACTTCAAATCATAAGATGACACTTGATCATACCAGTACACCTGAAAATATCCTGAGGCACATTTACATAAAAATGCATTTTTTAGGTTTTTTTCTGTACATAAGCCCCAAGAAGTGGCAAGAAGTCGTGTACAGCTGGTAGAGAGATCCCAAAACATCTTCTAGCAGAAAGTAGGGTACTATGACTCTCTAGGGCAGGGCTGCCACCAAAAAAATCTTATTTCTTCTCATTTGGCCTTGAGAAAACCCTAGCACAAAGTCTATTTCAACTCGTAATATTTTATAGTCAGGGTACTGCACCTTCACAAGCAAACTATATTCACACATTCATGGTCCACTTGTTATTTTCTGCTCTTGCATTTATGTGATTATATTATATAGAAATATAATTACATGTTTTTCCAGGGCTATTTTCTTCCCCAGCAGAAAAAGCTAACCTTATCCCAAGAGATCTCTACATCCAGAATGGGCAGTGATAAATTCTCTACCTTAGCACCCGCCTCAAACTCCTGTGCCTGCTACTGATTTAATGCATAAAACACACCAGTCCTCAAAATTGAACAAACATGCCATAGCTGCGCCACCTGCCCCTCCCCCGACAGCGAGCACCCTTGGAGATCCTGTCACTCAGACTATACTGAATGTAAGTTCACCTAAGCTGATGGACACAGGACTTCCTGCAAATAGCAGCAGCATCAGGAGAGCAGACACGGGGGAATATTCCAGAGCAGATGCTAGCACGGACATATCAAACTCAGGGTGGATTTCTATCAGCCCACCCGTGTGCCCAAGTGCCTCTGGAGAAATGCCAGTGTGTCAACAGGGCTGTGCCAGCTGTGGGCTTGAGCTGTGAACTAAATACAGAAGCACAGGGCTCAGGCCCAGGCTGAAGAAGCTCGGCAGGCTGCAAGCATTTTCTCTCCACGTCTCTGGAATCCAGCAACTTCCCTGTAGCTATGCAAAGCACAGAGAGACAGGGGAGTCCTCTCCAGACATGGTCCTGCCCTAAGGCACATGGTCTGAGTCAAGTGTCATTGCAGCCCCACCTCCACCCTTGTGGCCAAAGTTTATATCCTTGAAACTTTGAACCCACTGCAGCCAAAGGCTCCCCCACCTGGCATGGGAAGATGTGGAGTTACAGACTGGAAGAGGAAGCCAAGGAAGCTGGGAGCAAGACAGAGGCTTGCTCAGTCCTAAGTTGCATTTGTGCACAGCCTGAATTTTCATCTCGAGCATCGTTTCTTGGATGGGAGGGCCATGTCCTTCTTCATTCCCCCAAAGATCTCACAGGTTGTAACCATGGTGCACATGGTTACACACGTAGTGTTTGTTATTCACATGGGTCAGGTGCTTAATAGGTGTTTCCCACAGTATCATTTTCAGTTAAGAAATTAAAAAATAAGAGTCAAAGTGGTTCACATCTTCAGAACCAGTATGTAAACTCAGGACTGAATTTCTTTTATTGTCATTAATTTCCCAAATACCTGCATCTCTTCTTCAAAATGAAGGGAAAATCCTTTTTTGAGGCTTCAATAATAAAAATGCATTTCCTCTGTTCCTTTCTGCCCACTTCGAGGTTCTTTCCCACTAATCCCGCCAGCCAAACACGGCCTGCTCTACTTCTTCAGGTTCACACCGTCTCACTACCCTGGGGCACAAACCCACTGAAGCTGTTCATTCAACCACGTCAAGTCCACTGGGACTGCAGTCAGGCTTCCCCACGGTCTGCTCCCAACCTGTGACCCAGCCTCGTTCCCCGCCCCACTCTCTGCCCCAGCCCTACGCTGATGCCCAAAGGGCACACTCACCCTGAGCTCTCCACTTCCACACTGTGACCACTCATCCCATCTGCTCACCCCCTTCTCCCACGCCAGCTTCGTTTCTACAAATGCTCCGCATCCCCAGATGGGCGAGCTCTCGCAGACCTACTCACTCCTCAGTTGAAGGCATGAGCAGGACATGGATGGCTCGTAGATCAGGGCTGAAAACTGCCTGGCACTCAGTAAATGTCAGTTTTCCTTATTTAGTCAACAAATCATTATCCTTCAAGGATGAGGAAAACTGCCTCCTCCTTCATGACGTTTTGCTTTGGCACCCCAAGCAAAAAGCGCTGCCTTCCTCTGCTGTAGGCTCATCCCATACCCTGCACACAGCGTTCACAGACAGCTTGGGTGTTCAGACCTCTGTCTCCGATCTCAGTCCTTTCCTGGGCACGGAGACCTAGGAGAACTGCCGGGGGAGGGGAGCATAGAGCTCTCCCACGCGTGCCCAGCACCGAGTCCTCACAGAAGGCAAGTGTTCACGGTGGGCAGCAGAGCTCCTTCCTCTTCTCTCTGGGACACTGCCCACGTGCACTTCCAACCCCCTACTGCTGGTTTGTCCAGCACCTGTGGACACCTGTGACCACCGGCACTCAGGTCATTGTCTACCCTGGCTGCAGTTTCTCATACCCCATTCTAACAGTCCACAGCAGCAGGCTCAGGAGTCCTCAGCTACGGGCGCTGCAAGTACCATGCTCGGTCCTGCTCCCAGTCCTCAGGCAGCGCCCTTGACTGACTGGGACACTGCAAGTAACAATGAACGTTCAATGTCGGTTGAAGACTTGTCCAAAGGCATACAGATAACAAGCCTCTGTGTTACTTGTTGGAAACCTAACCTCTTTCCCCAACCCCCTTTTAAACAGTCCCAGGCACACAGTCTGTTTCCAGGACACATACACACCTGAGTGCAGTGCACCCCACCCTGCAACCCCCCGCCCCCATCTACTTCAGCTGATGTACATGATCGTTCTTGACTAGATTATCTCTGATGTGGTTATCAGCCCCCCACTCACTTCCTCTGCGTTCACTCTTTTCTTTCTACCTCTTTCCTTTTACCCCAATTGCCTAAACCCTTCTTTTCTGTCTCTTTTGCTCTACCTCTGAGAAGACAGCAGTACCAGCTCCTGATCTGCTATAGAAAGAGTAGAATTGAGCCAGGTTACTGAACAGGCCTGGCCTCGGGTCAAGGTCTAGCAAGGGGCAGGTCCAGGGTGCAGGTCCTGAGTGACCCGAAGCCAAGCAGAGAGGTGGGATACAATCAGGATGAAATGCAGTAGCGAGAGCCACACTCTAAGAAATACTGGTTCCCACTATGTACAGTTAAATAGAGATGTTCTGTTTTTCTGGTAGTAGTAAAACTTTCTCATCTATGACAGAGAAAAACCACCAATATCTTCACCTGGGGCTCATGTAAACAAAGCACTGTGAGGACTGGTGGAAATGGACACTGGTCTATATGCAGGGTACCTGAGTGTATCATCAGCCGCTCTGTGTGAATGTGAGAGGACGGCAGTGACTAAGGATGCAGCTCTGCGAACCTGCGTGTGACACATAAAATGCAAAGTGCTTCTCAGGATTTGCGTCCCAGTACCCTTGGATTATAACTTAATTGGGACCAGGGTGGCCTGAGGCATGTGTGTAGTTCTTTATGGCTCAGAGCCTAGAATGTTTCCACACTCCCACAGCATCTGACCAAGAGGGCAGATGTCTCGTTACCCAGTATTCTCAAAGTGGGTAAATTCCGATATAACGGCAGCCCTGCTCTAGGGAAAGAGGATTAAAGTAAAATATGCACATATATATGTAAGAGAACAACATATAATCCTTAATTGTAAATGATTCTGGCCAATCTTAATCACAACATAAGCAAATTCTTACCATCCTTCCAAAACTCTGCAACAAATCTGTCTGATGACTGGTGTAGGAGCGTGGCCACGTTGTCATTCAGAATGTCGATGTTCTTCATCTGCCTTACAGTCCACCTGGCCCATCCCACAGCCAAATGTGGCGAGATGAAGAAAACAGACAGACACAATCAAGAAACATTTAGAGCCTTACCCACAAATGTTCACAGAGCAACCTAAAAAGTGGATTGTCTCAATGCAATGCATTTGTAATATAAACTACACTTAAGAATTTACAAATGTTTTTCAGCACATTTATTATAAACTTCATCAAATGTAGCAAAATTTCAGACACAGATCTTTTAATTAAGTGATTCAACCCTTACCTTCCTCACATAATGTATAATGCAGGAATCAGCTTTGTCTTTCAGTTGCTGAGGATTCTGGAACTTGGAGTGGGACCCTGGCTCTTGAACTAGTTTTTCCACAAAGATTTGATCTGTGGCTTTGGGAAACCAGCGCTCTTCATCCAAAGGGCAAGTACACCAGCAGGGTTGCCCTGACAACGAGAGGCAGTAAAAACGGACATGTTTTGCATGTCACTTTCAATACCCACTGGGTTTGGTAGTTTAACGTCCAAAACAGAGTTTTATGAAGATCTGGGGAAACAAACTGCTAAATCAGAAGGAAATGCCCAGAGCACATATGTAATAGAAACACTGAGGTCTCAAACTGCTAAATATGTGCCGAAGAGACAACAGATGAGTAACATCTCATAAACTCATACGGGTGCACTGTATGTATACTAATTCCAAGTTGATGGTCCGGAAGCAGAAAACAGACACCACAAAGGAGCTACACTACTTTGTGAATATACTAAAAACCACTGAATTGTATACTTGAAAAGAGTAAATTTTAGGATATGCATCTAGAGCTGGCCATTCTCTGGGAGCTCAAAAATCAGTGGAATGACCAACTCACAGGCCTTTATATTCACTGAAAAAGAAAAGGCTATATACAAATATTGCTTTAAAAATAACTAGAGGTTATAGTTAAATAAAAGTGAAATGATGTACTAACATGGTCAGAGGAAGGTGGCAGCAAAACCCAAGGCCAGCAGGCAGAAGCTGAGCATCCCTGTGCAATGAGCCCAGCACTGAGACACTGACCCAGGCCTATTCAGTTTGTGGTTCCTCCACATAGAAGGACTTGTAGGGTTTCAGAGCAGCTAAAAGGAGACTATCATCAAAGGCAACTGAGATATCTAACGTCCATAATAGGATCCCAAATATAATCCGATCTTCTCTCAATGACTCAGTGACAGCAAAATTATGAATATCTACTATTGTGTCTCCTTTTTCTTGTCCTGTTTCATCCTTCAATGTCAAGTTCATTGCTAACACTTCTTTAAACTGGAGGTTCCTACAAGAGCTGTAAGCATGGGAAACTGTCTTCTGATTCAGGCCAGGAGCACTATCAAGGGTTTGGAAGCAGCTTTCTGAGCACAGGGCTCACCCCCTGCCACCCTGCAGGGTGTAGGTTTGTGAGACGGGAGGTAAGACTGGCCAGCAGCTTTTTAGGTATTTATTTTCCTTATGGAAAATGGTCTCTCCATTTTGAAAGAATCATTGTCCCATAACATTGTACATCCTACAGTTAAACTCCCTACTGTTATACACTCTTTCTGTTTCTATGGATAAGCAGAATAAGGTCATCCTAAAGAGTGAGTCATCATTAAACCCTGAATTCTCTCCCTCCCCTTTCTGAGCTGCCTCTCCTTGAAGTTAGGACTACTCAGGCAAGAAGTAAAAGGGTGCATTCCTAAAGATTTTTTGGGGAAGAGCCTAGAAGTGCCAGTACAATAAGTATAGGAAGGAAGGCATGAAGGAGGGCAGAGGAAGGGGTGGAGGGAGCAGGGAAGGAATGAGGGGAAAAGGGAAGGAATTCATTCTGCTCACTGTCCTTATGTATCTAGAACAGCTGGCATATCCTCCCCATTCCAATACCTTCTGAACACGTTGACTGGAATATTCTCCTAAAATCCCACTATCAATACATTGTATACCAGCTAATTTCTGGAATGTGGCTCTGGAGTGCACTCCTACTGCTATCCACACATCTACCTGGGGAAAGCCAGCCATGGCTTTATGGTCAGAAACCAAATTCAGAGCATCACTTAGCCAGAACCACATGAACAATGAACTATCACCACCTTCTGTTCTGTTCTCTGGCTTCGAGATCAGGTCCTTAAGGACCAGGCCATGCCACCTCCTCCCTCCATGCCCACGGCACCCCAATCTTCTTATTTTCAGGCTATAATTGAGGATGTAGTACATTTTTGTTGCCTGATCTTATCCTAATCCAACATTACCAAACAAAACAATAAAAAAGGTCACCTCTTTCCCTGTAGGCTAATCACTGAGGTGGAAATGTGCACTTTCCCCTAGCTCTCTCACTCTGAGAACATAAGCATCATCTGAGAGGGAAGAAAAATAGTATATACAGTATTTTGTCCTTGTGGATAAAGCAAAAATAATGTAGTGGAGTAACATTAAGAATATGTATTCCTAAGATTCATTTAAAGGTATAAAACCATCAAATTTTAAAATGCTCTAAAAAGTTTTTTTTTTTCTTTTTTTTTAAATAGGGTTGCCAATTTTTCCACTGGGAAGAGTTTTAGTACAATTATTCCTGTAAAGAGATAGCTGTAGCAACTCTTATGGATTCTCTGCCATCCTGAATTATAAGTGCACATGCATAGTTTCACACTTTCTTAAAACACAGAGCTTCCAGTGTTATATAGATACATGTGAGTATCTCAGACAAATCATATGGTCATCGATAGTACTGATATGAAAAATTCCATTCCCTTATTTTACAAATCCCCAAACCACGTTTTGGGCCACAAAGCAGCAAGGAAATATATTCACATGTTCATCTAAACAGGAGCATTCACTAGAAATTACCACTAATGTACCTTGACTATCACTTCTAAACAATGCTCAAGGTACACACAAGCAGATTCTCCCAACTAACAGTAATTTGAGAATTTTGCTGCAAACAAATGACTACAGTGCCTTGAAAGGTAAAATGTCTCTTATGGATGAGTGAAAAGAAAACTGTGTTACTTCCCTTAAACCCGAGTTTCTCATGTGCTACAGCTACATCTTTAACAGGGTGAACGTCCTCTAGGCTCCTTCCCTGGTTCTGACTGCAGTACCTACAAGGCTTATTAAAACACTGATTGCCAGGCCCCACCCCCAGAGTTTCTGATTTAGTTAAATCTGAGGTGGAGCCCAGTAGTTTGCATGGCTAACAAATTCCAAGATGATGCTGATGCTGCTGGCACTGAGACCACACTTTCTGAATCATTGTGCCATAGTTCCCTGGCTACCATGGTGAACCACTGTTACTAACAGGTATTTGAGGTTAAAAAAATGGTTGAAAACCAAAGTTCTAGACAAATTCATACCAAGATGTAAAGATTATGCCAACGTTTTGAGGATAATGAACTTGAATAAAACAAACATTAAAAAAAAGAAAGTGAAAGTCATAAAATGTAAAATGAAGACTTCTACAAATAAAATTGCTAACGTGTGTGTGTGTGTGTGTGTGTGTGTATGCGTGTGTGTGTGTGTGTGTATAGTCATTAATCCTGATCTGAGGACATTTTCCCATTGATATTTTAAAATAGAATGGAAGGGAGCCCTGGCCGGTTTGGCTCAGTGGTTAGAGCATAGGCCTGCGGTGCAGAGAGACTTGGGTTCAGTTTCCACTAAGGGCATGTACCGCGGTTGCAGTTTGTCCCCAGCCCTGGTTGGGTCATGCGGGAGGCAGCCACTCGAAGTGTCCCTTTCATGTCGATGTTTCTCTCTTTCTATCTCTCTTCCTCTCTCTCCCTCCCACTCTATCTGAACGAAAAATAAAAACATGTCCCCAGGTGAGGATAAAAAAAAAAATGGAAGGGAGGGAAGAAGGAAGAGAGAGGAAGAGAGAGAGAGAGAGAGAGAGAGAAGCATCGATCTGAGAGAGACACATCAATTGGTTGCCTCCTGCACAGTCCGGGTCAACTGGGGCAGGGAATTGAACCTGCAACCCAAGCAGGTGACCTTGACTGGGAATCAAACCATCAACCCTTCCACCTGAGGGCCGACACTCTAACTGATGAGGCAAACCAGCCAGGGTTGCTAACATGTTTTTAACTAAACTTGCATTTGCCTTCTTACAGAAAATATTCACGGACACATGTATAGTCTGAAGAATGGTTTCAAAAGACCATCACCTCTAGGGACTACCTACAAGATTATTAGCAAGTTTTCTGTCTTTCCAATTTACACACTAAACACTGCTACAAAGAAGGCATGGCTTTGAAGTGGGACTTATCCTAGATTAATTTGGAGACAATCAGATACATACTCCGTCTAAAGGACGGTCTCTCAAAAGCAAAAATATCCAACTATAACAAAATAACACATTACTCTTATTATTCTTATTAGGTATTAACTGTATATCCCACACAACACTTAGAGAACTGCCTTGCTGCCTGTCGGCACACACACACTTCTTTAATTTTGCATTGGGTCTGCTTAAATTTAGCAGGTGACTATAAATTAGAATAACTTAGGTCATTTCTAGAGCAGGTCTTTTTTTTTTTTTAAGTAAATTATGTACTTAAAATTATTTTATTAAATCGGCACATTTAAAATTTATTAGTCTGGCTAGAGTGGCTCAGTGGTTGAGTGTCAACTCATGCACCAGGACGTTGCTGGTTCGATTCCTAGTCAGGACACATGCTTGAGTTGTGGGCCCGATCCCCAGTGGGGGGCATGCACGAGGTAGCTAGTCCATGTTCTGTCTCACTGATGTTTCTATCTCTCTCTCCCTCTCTTTTCCTCTCTCTCTAAAATCAATAAAATAAAATAAAAAAATTTAAATTTATTAGTACTTTATTTGGTGGGGAAATGCTTATAATTTAAGAAAAATTCAGTAAATTGAAAAGGGTTATTACAAAACATTACCAGTTTTGCTGGTGGAAATTACATATATACACTTTAAAAAAAGGAACAACTCGGCTGGTGTGGCTTGGTGATTGAATATTGACCCATTAACCAAGAGGTCTCAGGTTTGATTCCCAGTGAGTGCACATTCCAAGGTTGTGGCCCGATGCCCATTGGGGGGCGTGCAGGAGGCAGACAATCAATGTTCTCTCTTATCGATATTTCTATCTCTCTCTCTCCTTTTTTCTCTCTCTAGAAATCAATAAAGAAAAAATATTAATAAAAAAACAGATATTCATGGGTCTTTACTGGGAAGTAGGATTACACATCTTTACTTTTCTAGAGTTTTCTGCAAGTAATTAACCACTATGAGACAGTTTTCCTGTGCCTTGTTAAATAGTAAGCCCTCAGCCTAGTCCCTGGTCCAAGGAGGGGATCTATCTATACCTGCTAATCAAATATTACATGAGAGGTCCCGACCCATATTTTCTCTTCCACAACCTAAAACCTACCATTCCTTCAAATCCTGACCCAAATGACACCCTTTCAGAAGTTCTTTTCAGGTCAGTCTCGCAAATGCATCCTTCTCCTTCTCCTAACATCTTGTGCTGCTCATCAGGCATTGTCTTTCCCTCCCCGTGCGTTATCTCAGAGGGCTCAGCAGGTAGTAGGTACTCACGTCATTCTTTCATTGCTAGTGCTCATGAGGCCACTGATGACTTTTTTTTCAATTTAAATCTTCACTTGTGATTACCAAATATGTTGTATTTTTTTCATTCCTTTGTATATTTGGAAACCAATCTTGACAATACTGGCATTTAACAGTGAACCACTCCCAAATGCTTTACCCTGCGAAAAGGATAATATCACACTTTTAAAATAGCAAATACTGTTGTTATATATCACTAATTATGGCCAGACACTATTCTAATCAGGTTACATAGATCAACTCTTAATCCTCACAATAGCCCGATGAAGTAGGTACTATTGATGTCTTCATTTTACAGATGAGGAACCTGAGGTACAGAGAAAGCCAAAAACCTGCCCAAGGTCACAGAGCTAACAAGTAGCAGAGCTGAGAGTAAACCCAGAGAGTTCAGCTCCTGAGTTCATTCTACAGCGATGGAAGGTGAGAAGGAGGAGATTTTGAAGGGCATGATGTACACTATATACTGCCTCTCTACTAAATAAAACCCTAGTGATTATGGCTTCAAGACTACAGGCTTGGTCAATAAACACACACAACCTAGGAAATGCTTTATGTTTTATAGGGAACAAAAACACCTATACTTAGAGGGGGAAAAATAATTAGGGATCGTCTGTCAGCAGACTCGGGCCAGTTGACCCCGAGGACGTAGGACTTCCGGTCAAGATGGCGGGTAGGTAAACGCGGTATCGCGTCCTCCCACAACCACATCAAAGTTACAACTAAACTAAAGAACAACCATCATTTAAAACTGCCTGAAATCAAGCTGAATGGAAGTCCTACAACTATGGAATTAAAGAAGCAGCCACAAGAGACTGGTAGGAGGGGCAGAGGCGGACATGCTGGTCCCACACCCATTGGTGACGGATAAAAATTAGGAGGAAAACTGGGCTGGGAAGGCCCTCCCTGAGGACTGAGGGGTCCCTGTCCCACACCGGGCACCCCACTCCGGGTTCAAGGGCCAAGAAGAGAAGTCCCCATAACTTCTGGCTGGAAAAACCAGGGGAACTGAGGCTGAGGCAGCTGGAGACCCAGGCAGCTCCTCTTAAAGGGCCTGCGCACAAACTTATCGGACTTTCTCCTTCTAAGATTGGAGGGGAGGCAGCTCAAGGGGCGTCAGAGACATACAGGGAAGAACTGAGCTGTTTGGCACTGGAGCGAGGGCTGGAGAGGGGACTTTCTCTGGAACAAGCATGTTGTCAAAGGCCTTTGTTCCTTTGGTGAGCCCTTCCCTGGGGTGGCAGAAAGTTGCCAGATCTGAAACTCCAGCAACCTGGCTCACACTTTTTGCCCCACACTGGTAATTACCTGAGGCCTGGCCCCGCAACTTTCAGGCCCACCCAAGCTGTTGCCAGTTGCTTTACCATAGGATTGGCCTGTCTTGGATCCTGCTTCAGGTTTTCCTAAATTCTTTCAAACAAGCAGCATCTGGTCTCAGCTAGCCCCATACCTCTTATTAAGTAATACACAAAAACAAACACAGGGAGGCAGCCAAAATGAGGAGACAAAGAAACAGGTCCCAATTGAAAGAACAGAACAAAACCCCAAGAAAAAAACTAAGCAAAATGGAGATAAGCAACCTAACAGATGCAGAGTTCAAAATACTGCTTATAAGTATGCTCAATGAACTTAGTGAGAACCTCAGTGAACTTAGTGAGGGCCTCAAGAGCATAAAAAAGGACGAGTCAGAAATGAAGGATGCACAGTCAGAAATGAAGGAGGCATTAACTGAAATAAAGAATAATTTACACAGATTCAATAGTAGAGAAGGTAGAGCCAAAAAGCAAACCATCAATTTGGAATATAAGGAAGCAAAAAAACACCCAATCAGAATAGCAAAATGAAAAAAAGAATCCAAAAAATTGAGGATAGTGTAAGGAACCTCTGGGACAACTTCAAGCGTGCCAACATTTGCATCTTGGGGGTGCCAGAAGGAGAAGAGAGAGAACAAGAAATCGAAAACCTATTTGAAACAATAATGGCAGAAAACTTCTATAACTTGGTGAAGGAAACAGACATACAAGTCCAGGAAGCACAGAGAGTCCCAAACAAGATGAACCCCAAGAGGCCCACACCAAGGCATATCATCATCAAAATGCAAAAGGTTCAAGACAAAGAGAGACTCTTAAAAGCAGCAAGAGAAAAGCAGTTAGTTACCTACAAGGGAGTTCCCATAAGACTGTCAGCTGATTTCTCAAAAGAAACTTTGCAGGCCAGAAGGGAGTGGCAAGAAATATTCAGAGTGATGAAAAGCAAGAACCTACAACCAAGATTACTCTATCCTGCAAAGCGGTCATTTAGAATCAATGGCCATATAAAGAGTTTCCCGGACAAGAAAAAGTTAAAGGAGTTCATCTCCACCAAACCGTTATTATATGAAATGATGAAGGGTCTTTTTGAAGAAAAAGGTAAAATATATGAACAAACAAAATGGCAATGAATACATATCTATCAACAATGGAATCTACAAACAAAATGAACGAGCAGAACAGAAACATTCTCATACACACAGAGAACATTTTGATGGTTGCCAGATAGGAGAGGGGTTGGGGGAATGGGTGAAAAAGGTGAAGGGATTAAGAAGAACAGATTGGTTGCTAGACTGACAAACTCAAAGAGAAAGGGCTTGGGGGTGGGAAGAAATAAGTGAAAGAACTTATATGCATTACCAATGGACACAGACAACAGTGTGGGAAAAGGCAGGAAAGGGGCGGGAGTGAGGAGGGGGTCAATGGAGGGAAAATGAACGTCTGTAATACATTCAACAATAAAGATAAAAAATTTTTTTATTTATTAAAAAAAAGAATAATTAGGAACTTCTTTGCAGGAGACATGAAGATAATCCAAAGGTTCTTGGTATCATTTGAAATAACTGCCTAATTATAGTTAAGTCATTTATCTGTGAATGAATTATCCCCCTACAGAGTCAAAACTCCAAGGCCTTCATTGGTTTTCCGTGCACACATTCCTGGGCTCCCTCTCTCAAGATTATCTTTGACTTCCAATAAAATGCCACCCAGAAAATTTCTCAAATGTCTCTCAGCATCTAGTATAAGAACATACATGAAAACAATTCAATTTTATGAATATCTTGCATAAAAGCCAAACAAGAATGATGGATACGTTTTCCATGCTAGAGCATCCCTATAAGGCAGATAAACTAACACAGAATTGTCCCAATTTGTGTAATCCTACCATTGAGGTCATCTGCACTACAGAGATGTGGAAGTCTATTAATTTGTCAATATTCTGCTTAAACAAATGAGCACAAATACAAACCAATTGCAAAAGGACACTATGACTGTTCATGGCCTGTACCATCTCTCAGTTAATATTTGTGTTACATATTTCTGAAATGGGAAACCAACACAAGGAATTTTCATTTATATACGATGAGAAAGTACATAAACCGCAGTCATATATAGTCTTTCACTATACAACATGCCCTTCAAAATTTCCTTCATCTCATCTTCCATCCAGTCTGTCTTCATTGTAATGATTTCCCCAAGGAGCCCAAATAAAAAGCCATGCTCTCAGGTCACATCCCTTTGCTGCAAAAGCTCATGCTATATGGCACAATTACTTTCTCCAGATAAGAACAAAGAAGAACTGAATTTAAGGTGCAGAAGTAAGGAGATGCATAAAATGGCTACTTTTCCAGAATCTGAGACTGACGAGGTCATAGGTAAGCACCAAAAGCAAGGGACTAAAAGAATAATTAATGACAGATTGATGAAGGAAATAAAACAATAAATAGATTAAAGTTTTTCAGAGTGAATACCATCAAGAATAATTAAGCCTGACTCAAAGAATCCTCAGTTTCAATGTAAACAAACAAAATCTCAGCAAAGCCAAAGTTTACATTTAGTATAATATTATTCAGTGAAAACAGCAGTCTTTCTTTCCTTTGCAGTCTGGATCTACCCTGCCTGCTTTCCCCTACTCTACCCTACCCTACCCTACCCTACCCTACTCTACCCTATCCTTCCCCACCCCATCCCACCCAGCCCCTTCCACCAACAGCAGTGATCTTGAAGGGAGCTGCAGAGTCCCTAAGAAACAGTTAAAGGTCAAAAGCAAAGACCATGTTACCCAAACCTCCCCAGCTGAGCTGAGACTAACCAAGTGACCCACCTCCTTCCGAAGGCCCTAGTTCCCAGGCAGGCCAGGCTGGGGGCCTCCCAGGTCCTTGGGCCACATCGGTCCACCACAGGCCCACAAAGCCCCTGCACAGGCCAGCACTCCGTGCCTTCCGCTTCCCTCTGACCCCATTCCGGTTTGATTTTATGGGATCCGGGTGTGACCCCAGATGCACAAGGTCAGGAAGACTCTGGCGGTCTATTCCCAGATCACTTACACAATAAAGGGATCCCAAAGCGAGGGCCGCCCAGCTGCAGTGCACCCCCGCCACATTTCCCGCCTCGCCTCACCCCCCAAACAGCCAGGGCCTAGCCGGCATCCACCTGGGCCCCACCAGCTACAGAGCACATTGTAAAAAGCCTCCTCCCACCCTCTTTCCCGGGAACCAGGGAGTCCGACCTTCCTCATGATGCTCCTGCTCCTGGACCCTCACCCTCAGCGCGCTTTCCTGGTGGTGCAGATTCCCTGCCCTCTGGTCCCTCCAAGGAACAGAACAAGTCCGGGGTACTCTTTCTGCCTTCCCAGCCCTTGGCGAACCCCTTATGGCACTCAGGGTGCTCCACCCAGCCTAACCCTCAGGAACCCACCAGGGGGCCTTTCTGTCCAGAGTCTCCCCACCCCCAACCGGGATCGTGTTGTCCAGCCAGCCCAGTACTCCCCTCCTGGGAGGCAGAAAGACTTGCGGAACCCCTGGGGACCCTCATCAGGGCACCAGCCCCCCCTACCCGTGGGGCATTCGGACTCCATACACGGAGTACCACCAGCTCCCCACACCCAGATCTCCATCCCCAGCCCCAAAGGGGTTGTCCTCCCGCACACGCAGACCCTGATCCTTGCAGGGGTTTCACTCTCAAGGCCCTCCTCCTTCCCTGCCCTTCCTGGGGTCTCTCCATCCACATGGGTCCACTGACCCTACTCCCCAGGTCCTTGCCGGGATGAATGTACTGCCCTGGAGCACAAATCCTCTACCCAGATCCCCTCTAGCTCCCCCCCCCTCCG